AAGTACGTCTATATATATATATATATATATATATATATATATATATATAGCCTATGTTTTCATAAGTGACTAGTGATTTTGAGTAAATCAATTTTTGGGAATCCAATTTGAGACACTTTAAAGGGACCTAATTTTCAGAAGGTGGGTGGCTCAGCACTTTTTGAAATACAGGGGCCCCTTTGAATTGTCTCTAGTTGGGCATCCAAAAAACTTAGAAACACCAAAATCACTAGTGACTTTTGAAAATGTAGGGTGGCTGTATTTGCATGTAAACTAGCTTACTATATTTTCCCCAATATTTTGTAATTACTTCAATACACTGGGTCAATCCAAATGCATCTTTGCCAGGAAAATTAAGATACTTTTTATAAAATGGCAGTTCTGAGCCTAGATGATAGCAGCTCTTGTAACATAAGAGATATTGCCTATGTGCTGTACTGCTTGTCTGGGCCCACAGAGGATATGAATCCTTCTATACCGAAGAGAGTCTCCTTTTATTGTAAGTAGTAGGGACTTGTGGTTTTGGACCAAAAGGTCCCTAGTTCCATCTATACAGAAGTCCACACAGATGTGGAATAACTAGTCAGCAACCTGCTCTAGAATCTGAACTCCTGGTTACACTGGATTCCACAGGACGAGTTTTAGTCAATTGGTGGAAAAGAGAAGAGTAAGTATTGTGCATGTGTAGTACTGGTGCTTAGTGAACAAATATCAGACCTGCTCAAACATGTGCAACTGCATCACCCTCTACAGTTGGTTATAGGGGTTTTGGTTACAGCTGGACCACAGAGAACGTAAAGCCTGAAGAATGAAGTGTGCATGGCCAGTGATATAACATTCAGGATACCAGTCAGCAAAGGAAGTGCGCAAAAGAGAAGTGGTCCCTTTGTTTAACACGTATGGGGAAGCATCTAATATCAGTGTTCCAAATAATGTCAACTGTCACCAAAATGGCTGCCAAGAGAAACTAAAACCCCTATAACCATAAGAGCATTATCAAAAGCACTCCACAATTTCTGCAATGCAGAGAGGTTTCTCTCAGTGTGATTGAACCTCTGCGTGGCTGTATTGAACAGATTTGTAAAGGTACTTGGTCACAGGGTGAATGGTACCAACCTCTGGGTTTAACTTGAAAGTGCGCTTTAAAGGCTGGCCTGGCTTTATACCCCCCACATCAAAGACAATAGAAGTAAGTTCATCATTTATCAGAACGTCTTCGTCGAAGAGAGACAACTCCAGAATGTTCTAAAACAAAATAGAACAAAACAGTATTCAAGGGATGGGTTGGAATGGGGGGAAGATAGACACACTTTGTGTTCTCTGTGTGTGTGTGTGTGTGTGTGTGTGTGTGTGTGTGTGTGTGTGTGTGTGTGTGTGTGTGTACGTACTAAC